TCATACCAACAAGCCTGAAGATAAAGAAGAGTTATTAGTTGAATATGCTAGTCATATAAGAATTGCTAAACTCGAACACAAATATTACAATGATAACATTAAAAAAGCAAAAGAAAATGCTTCCCATACTATTAATATTCATTCACCACTTGCTAGTAAAGAAAGACCTGCCCCAAATACTGTTGATGGTAAGAGTTTTATAATACCTCTTCAAGCTGTTTTGCGAAAAATATATAACTTTGTCAAATTTCTAAAATATGAATAATATTAGCTATTGCTTATTTTTGTTATAATTGGGCGCAGAATGTTCCAGTACCATATTCTCCACAACAAATTGGTCCTTTGTACTTTAAGAGTGTGCACTCAGTCAGTATTTTTGGAATTAATGATATCGGTAATTAGCCTCAATCTTATCAAATAAATTATCTTGTAGATGAAGAGGAGTTTCCTGTAGGAGTAGCAAAGGGTGCAAATACAACTCTAAATTTGATTTATGACACACTTATTGAATGTAACAGAGATAAGAAGAACATCAAAATTATTTGTGATAACTGTGAAGGGCAAAACAAGAATAATGCTACTATTGCTTTCTACTGTTGGTTAGTACTAATTAGTATGTTTGACACTATTGAACTTAATTTCATGATACCTGGGCACACAAAATTTATTTGTGATAAATATTTTGGACTTTTGAAAGCTTATTACAAAAAGTCAGTGATAAATACTGTTGATAACATTGCCGAAGTAACTAGAATGTCTACCTATGGCAATAATGCAATCTGTTACAAAGATTATAAGTGAAAATATTTTGATTTTGTCAATTATTTTACTCCTTATTTTAAAAAAGTCCCCAACATTAGATATTACCATCATTTTTTGTTCAAGTCTACTGAATGTGGCAAAGTTTTCTGTCAGGAAACTGCTAATGGAGAATTTACAATTATTGATTTATTTAAAAAAAATACTATATTTGATCCTTATATATTATCAAAAACTCTAGATTTATAATCTACGAGACAGACATATCTTTATAATGAAATAAAAAGGTTTGTCAACGATCTTTATAAGGATATAATTTGTCCCAGACCGCCAAGTAGTTAAATAAAGTTTATTGCATTACTATTGATTGCTTAAATTTTGGGATAATATGTAATTACCATAAAAATGGCCCAATTTCTTTGAAACCGATTTTCTAATAATATCTATTTTTGCAAATGCACCATTTTCATAGATCAGTCGTCATATACTGTGGATTGCCAAAAGTTTATGGACACTTTTTAAAACTCAGTAAAAAAGTTTTTTAAATAAAAAAAAAATTTTTTATATGATAGAATATTTACATGTTGACTATATTTAAAATTTTATTTAAATAATCAATATTTCGTTGGTCCTCTCCCAGCTGCAATGCAAGCCCTAATGCGACGCGGCATACTTTTGATTAATCGCTGACAATCTTCTAAACTTATCTCATCCCAACACCTTTTAACATGTTGCTCGAGTTCTGTTAAGTTTTGAGGTTTAGGTATGATTTTTCTAAGACGACATTTCATCATATGCCAGAGATTTTCAATAGGGTTAAGATCTGGACTTTGCGAAGGCCAGTTCATAACCCTAATATTTTTTTTAGCAAGAAACTTTTTTGTGATTTTTGCGGTATGCGGTCTTGCATTGTCATGTTGAAACCAAGGCCGACCTGCACCAATCCAATTTGTTGTAGGAAAATCACGAAGTGTTGGCAAAAGATTCTCCTCAAGAGTTTCGACGTAGGATTTTTCTAAAAAAACGGTAAAAAAAAAAAATTCATTCTTTTTCATTTTTTTTTTTCGTTTTCATTTTTTTTTTTCATTTTTTTTTTTTTTTCTTTTTTTTTTTTTTTTTTTTTTTTTTTTTTTTTTTTTTTTTTTTTTTTTTTTTTTTTTTTT